CCTTCTAGCGTGCCCACATCCCCCCACGTCTTGGTGTCATCAGCAAATTTGAACAGGGTGCTTTTTACCCCCTCATCCAAGTCACTGATGAAGATGTTGAACAGTGCAGGGCCCGAGGACCGAGCCCTGCGGAACCCCACTGCCCACATCCCTCCAGGTTGAAAATAACCCACCCGCCACCACTCTCTGGGTGCGGCCCTCCAGCCAGTTAGCGACCCATTTGACTGCATGGGTGTTGACACCACAGTCCCCCAGTTTCTTAATGAGATCGGGGTGAGAGACAATGTTGATGGCCTTCCGAAAGTCCAGGAAGACTATGCCCGCTGCTACCCCTGCAGCTAAGTATTTGGTGATCTGGTTGTAGAAGGCCACCAGGTTGGTCTGACAGGACCTGCCGCTAATGAACCCATGTTGATTGCCCCTAAGCATAATCTCCCCTGCTCCCCTGATGTTAGCCTTCTTGGCACCGAGGGTACGCTGTTGGCTCATATTCAGCTTATTATCCACTGTAACCCCAGGTCCTTTTCTGTAGGGCTGCTGCCTAACCAGTCAGACCCAGCCTGTACTGGTGCATGGGATTTTTCCATCCTATGTGCAGGACCTTGCACTTGGCTTTATTGAACCTCATGCAGGTTCTGCTGGACCAGAAGGGCATAAGCTTGATTGTGAGTCTTCATGAAGATCCAGTGTTAGGAATGGGAGATGTTCTAATGTGGTTGATAAGCGAGAGTCTTCAGGTTACGCCATGTGTCCACTACCCTATTGTCAATGGCGCCTATGTACCCACTTTGGCCATGTCCATATGAACAGGGGTGTGCAGCTTGTGGAGTCACAAACCACACGTGTAGAATGTTAAAACTTGCCCTGTGCTGTAGATTTGCAACACAGGGGCAAAATTTCCTACCAGGATTTCCCAATAGCCAAAAAAAGCCCCAGGGAAAAACTGGAGCACAGTGCACCTATAGTAGCGTGTGCTGGAACAGAGGCTCAGTCCTCTCTGTCAGTGCCCTGATTGCTCCAGCACACTGGAAGCCAAGAAGAGCTGGGCAAGGGCTGTTTGCCCACAGCAGGGCCAATGTGTCCCGCAATAAAGCACACATGCAGGTGCATATGCTGCAGCACAAAGTAGTGACACAAATTTGTGCTGCTACTATTTGTGCCACTACAAGCACATGCCCTGCTCATCTTGATGCAGTTGTTGAGATAATTTATATTTTTGGTTTTTACACCTAACAGAAATCTCTGAAGCCCATTATGCTTCTTTGCAGCCTTGGACTCCATTCAAAATTCAAGTTTTGAGCTACCTTGATTTTCATTTGCATCCAGCTGGGCACTTCACAGTTACCTCTCATTGAACTACAAAGGAATTAACTTAGCTCTGACAAGTTGTTTGCTTTCTATCCCAGTGACATCCTTAATACCTGAACCATCACAAAAGTGCAATTATAAATATAGGACAATGCAGAACAAATACTACATATGGCACGTAAAAGCATCATGGGTTGCTAAGCACTTGGTGTCTTACTAAGGAACGCTGAAGTTAGGCAGCCTTTGTACAGCCCACAAAATAGGGAATGCAGTTATTATTCAGTCAAACATTTCACACAGGAGAGGTTCCTCCCAGGAGACAGAAAAATATATTTGAAAGAAAAGTTCTCTTTATGCACTCTACGGAATCTGAACTGAATCCCTGGCAACTGCTTATTAAACATACAGCATAAAAATAACTGGTCACAGAGGGAAAGAAACTGTGGGCTTCAGCACAGCTGCATCTTTTCTCAGGAAGTTTTGATTATTTATAGGCACTCTTATGTTATCACTTGAATTCCAGCGTCAGCTGAATTTCTCTGGATTTATGCTCCTGTAACTAAGAGCAGAATTTGGCTTTGGGTGTTTTGAAATATTTGCAAACAAACGACTCTATACTGCAAGCTCTTACTACAAGGCCTATTGCTTACGACCATGACAAGTACCACTGAAATCAATGCCACTACTCATAAAGTAAACACATGCCTAAGGGTGTACAAAGCATGTGCATGCTACAAAGCAGTGCTGTAGAGATATTCAAGCTATCTGCAGTATATTTGCTCCCATCCCACCTCCATACAGTTAAGACAGTACAGGGAGTGATACCCAAGACCTGGGTTCCTGTCTGTTTTCACAGATATTTCAGTATTTTATAACACAGGGAACAGATGCTACCAAAGAGATTGAGATCTTAAAATAACCGCTAACCCAGTTGTTATCTGTTCTGAAGGGTTGAAATCTTTACTAGGAATTAGGTTAAGAGGTGAGCTGAACAAGTGCCTTCACTTGTGGTCCTCATGGTATATTGGGGCAGCATCACCTCCTTGATCTTGTAAATGGAACCTAAGTCTCTTTGTCAATCTAAACTGAAAACTGCACATACTTTGTTTTAACATTTCTGAAATCCATGATCAGAGACTTGTTTGGACTGAGCCAAAACTTTTCCATAAACACACAATTAGTCAACAAAAAAAGAATTGCCTAACTCTAAAACCTTATCATGACATTTGCCCTAATTATGGCAGCTGACATTCTGATTTCTTTTCTTCTCTTTTGCAAAAGGCGATTACGATGGAATAGTTTCCAAATTTCTCATAGTATGAGCCACTCCATAGCATCTCTACAGATCAGCAATCAGTCAGCAGTCCAACTGAATCTACTGCAAAAATTCTCACTGCTTTGCCTCACTGCCATCATGGAAAAATACTCCATGTCAAACAAACATGGCTGGACCTGGTAAGTACCATAGATGTCGCCAAGCAAATGAATTTAGAAGTAAATTGTGTCCCCTAATTTTGTTACTGTAGCTGAAACTTTAATAATAATGTAATTAGGAAAAACAATTTACTTTCATCTAAGAATTGGAAACTACATTTTGGTCTGTAGTTAGGCAGTGAGTCAGTGGCAAAAACCAGAAATAGAACCGAGAAGTCTGACTCTGTTCTAACAACCATACAGCTGATAGCAGTCAAGTTTCAGAGAAATGAACAAGAAGAGTAGAAGTGAATGATTATAAAGAAAAAAAATTTTCCTTATAATTAATTTTGTGATTTGAAAAGAAATAGCTGTTGCTGGCACATGATGCAATTTTTTTTTTTGGTCTTTACATTTAAGTAAAATATTAGAAGTAGTTCCTAAATAGAGATTTCTAAGTATGTGATACATTTTAGTGCAAAAATAATACCATGTTACACTTCTGTAGTGATCTGAACTCCAGCAATGTTAAGTAATCCTGACAATCCCCTCTTTTGGTAGGTAAAGATATTGAGATATTTCTAGATTTACAGATGGCAAAACAGAGACAAGAGATGTCTTAACTCAAGGCCACTGAAGGAATTGGTGTTAAACCTGCCAGTTGGGGGGTCCTGCTGTCCTGCTGTCAGTAGTGATGTCTCCTGGCTTTCTTTTTGTATGTGTTCATGTAATTGTTCTCTAAAGATTTATAGACAGATGGGCTTTTTAAAATAGGTGTGGAGTTGTCCCCTGTGTTTCTCCAAGGAGTCAGTTAATTCAAAGTTTATTTCTCTCACAGTAGAAAACCTTAGGCCATATTCATCCATTTTTAATACCACTGAAGTCATGACTCTAAAAGGAATCTGGCCTCTTCTCTTTTTCACCTGCATTTATTGAAGAAAGGAAGCACACAAAGTTCACCTAATTTACCTGACTAGAAATCAGTTGAGTTACACCCAGAATGAATTTGCCACACACTGTTTTTTTACTGTAATTCTAACTAAAGTATTGGGCAACATAATGCTAAATTGCAAAAATGATATAAAAATCATTAACATCTTAAAGAAACACGCAGTGCATTCTTTCAGATGAATCTTTCACTACACCCTGTTGTACTTTTCCTTCGAGTCTACATCAGACATTTTTAAAGAAAGCATAGTAGTTTCAGCAGGATGACAGTTGTGCCGGGGTTATTTCTTGTTAGAACAAATTGTTGCAATACATCTAGTAGCAAAAGGCAATTTGCTGGTTAAGATTGTCATGACCATAATATGTACAAGATTTAAAGTAGGCTTGTCCAACATACGGCCCATGGGCCCTCCAAGCTGTTTGTTTTCTGAGGCCTGAGGTGCTGCAATGGGAAACAAAAGTAAACACTGTACTTTCGTTTC